GCCACGCGCGGCGCGGCGGCGGGCATCGCCGCGGCCGCGTTCGCCGGGCCGGACGCGCCGGCGCCGGCGCCGTTCGTCCCGGGCGGCCTCGCCGCGGCGGCGCACCACGAGGCCATCCCGAACCCGGAGGACCCGTGGTCTTGCCTCGGCTATGACGCCTTCGACACCGCCGGCGCCGCCGCGGCAGCCGCGATGCTGCTGAAAATCGAGGAACCAGATGAGGCAGAGGAGGCCCACGAGACCCTGTGCCTCGAGTTCGACGGCAGCAGCGGCGGCTGCGGCGACGACGAGCTGTACCCGGCGTTCGCGGCGGCGGCCGCCGCCGCGGATTGCGGAGAGGATCTGCTCGCCCCCGCGGCCTGCGGCCTCGCGGCGGCCGAGGCGGCAACGGCGGCGTTCGAGGCGCGCGCGGCGCTGGGCTGCGGGGGCGGCGCCGCCGCGATCGGGCTCGAGGCGCCGCGGCCCGGGTCGGCGGTGGGCGGCCTGCTTGAATGGGAGGGTCACGGCGAGAGCGCCTGCGGCAGCAGCGGCGCGCCTGCCGCAGGCTGCGGTGGGGGCAGCGAGGAGCACTGTCTGTCTGAGTCGGTGGGGAGAATAGAGGCTCCGACATGGCACAGCCGGCTTGGGCCCAAGGCTGCGCTTGCTGACAGGGATCAGCCTCCACAGCAGCAGCAGCAGCAGCAGCTGCAGCAACCGCGCCTGCTGCGGCGAGTGGCTGCTGTGCGCAAGGGGTCAAGGTCGACCGGTCCCCGCACTGTAGCGCTGCAGCAGCAGCAGCAGCACGAACAGCAGCAGCACCTGCACAAGCAGCAGCAGCAGCAGCAGCAACAGCTGCAGCTGCAGCAGCTCCAGGCCGCGTGGCCGCAGACGGCGGTGCCGTGCGTGCCTGTGGCGGGCCCGTGCGCTCCAGGCGAGGTGCCGACCTGCATAGGCTACCTGGTTCCCCTCCCTCTGATGATGGCCGCGGCCCAACCGCATCAGCGCACCCTGCCCGCCGCCAGCGGCACCGCCGCCGCCGCCGCCCGCGCTCCCGCGCCGCTGCCCGCCGCGGCCGCGGCCGCGGACACGGCGCCGGCGGACACGTGGGCCGCGGCGGCCGGGCTGCCGGCGAGCGGCAGCAGCACGGCGCTGGCCTGCGAAGGCGCAGAGGGGGAGGGGGGGGATCCTTTCGATTTCGGGGCTCCGGCGCTGATGGGTTCCTTTGTGCGGCCCGACGAGCTGCTTCTCTCTTATTACTGATGCAATTCGTTGCTTCCTGGTCACTGCGCGTCCCTTGAGCACTGGAGTCATCCGGGGGTCGCGGTGACATGATGACGATGACGTCACTCTTACATCATCACGAGGCGGCTGACCTTGCAGCGACCCCACGGGCTGCGGTCAAGCGCAGCCGCATCACCACACGCACGTCGCGTTTTGGGATGTGCCGCTGCACGTGAAGAAACCACCCCATGTATCAAGCTTGAGCGTGTGTGGACTGGCGGCAGAGTATACACCCACACATTGTGCGCGTATACCAGCCGTACGCGAATCGATGTGCAGCGTCTGCGCAGCGCTCATGGCTGCCGCGCACATCAAAAGCACAGCTCCGCGGCGGGCCTCCTAGGGCGCGCCGCCGCTTGAACGCAGGCTTCCCACTTCTTCTTTTCAACCATTTGCATGGCCACAATCCCCACAAGCATTGCCCACGCGGGCTGCGTCTCGCCGCGCCCAACGCAGCCTGCAGCAGCCGGCGCCAGGGCCACCCGTCGAGCACGGGCGGAGGCTTTCCGTAATATCCTCTTTTGTTTGAGTCTGTCCCGCCCGGCTGCTGGGGCATCGGCCGCGGCGAGGGCGCCCTCGGGCCGCCCCGCCAGCACACGCGTCTTCACTGGTGCCCCCCTTCTTGTCAGCCGATGACGTCACACGAGCCAAGCCACCCTCACTCGCCCTTTGCACCTGATTAGCACGCCGGCCGCTCCGCCCCGCTTGGGGGCGGCTGCTCCGCCCCCCGCCCCTCGTGCGGGGGCCCGTGTCAGCCAGCGATGAGCCACGAGCACGCAGGTGTGGTTGCAGATTGACGCAGCGCGCGCGCCTCGCCACGGCCTGAGCCCTCCTCTCTCGTCCGCGCGCGGCGCAACCGCGCGCGTGCGACTGCCGAGTGGCCGCGTGCACCGCACGCGTATGGTGTCCCCGCGCCTCCAGTACGCAGCACCCAGGCACCGGCCGCGGGCACACAGGCTGCAGGCGGGCGCCTCCAGTACGCAGCACCCAGGCACAGGCCGCACGCACACACGCCGCAGGTGGGCGCCCCCATGCCTGCAACCAAAGCCTATGGGTTTCCGGCCGACCGTGCTTCGGACGGGCTCGCCTGTTTTCGGTGCCCCGCACTGGCGCCCCTCCAGCCCACAGGGCACCAGAACCACCTGATGCCTCGCACACCCACACACATGAGCCACTCACTGCACCAGGACAGCATCATATTGGGCCGCATACCAAATGCAGACGAGGGGGACCCCTGGGTGGGTGGGCTCGGCTCAAGCCTCGGCCCCGTGCGCCGCATTTCGCGCCGCGTAGAAATGGGCGCGCATCGCACTGCTTTGCGGGCGACCTCCAGGCTGTAGCGCTTGGCGCCAAAACCATTTGTCGAAGAAGTTTGAAGAAGTCTGTTGCACTGCCTGTCCCTTGCACGGTTTTGGCTGCGCTCGCACACGCATTTCCACCACCCCCCAATCGCCGCCCTCAGGGCGTCACTCGCCCACAATTGCGCTCCAGCCGTCCCAAGCGCCGCGCCGCGGTCATTGTTCGCCGGCGGTGTTTGGGGTGACAGCTGGGGGCTGGGGACGCACGGCGTGGGCACCTTGCCTCGCTTCGGCTGACGAACGAAAGGGCAAGCCGGTACCGGCAGGGACAAGGGTTCCTCGCAACAATTGGGCTTCTCTTGTGCTAATACATATGCGGCACGCGGCGCCGGGGGCGCACACCCGCTTATGAATTCCCTCGCGACCCCCTAAGCCGCACTCATGCGTCCACAGCAGTGGTGACGGCCGAGGACTGCTCCCGCAGCCGCAGCGCCGCCCTCCTAGTATGTGCGAGGGCGCAGCGCCCGCGTGCCCCGTCCCAGGGCATCCCTGTTGATGGGCCGCCCCCAATCCGTTGTGGCGTCAAAACCGTTTTCCGATATTTTTTTCCCTTGCGCGAACGCGCTGCGATGAGCCCAGACAGGCTCTCGCCCAGCTTGACCACTGTGTGTGCAGACACATGCATACGTGTGAGTTTGTGTGTGTCCGCGTGTGTTTCTGCGTGTGTATCTACACACCGGCGCCCTCGCTCTCTCAATACTTGTGCACGGTATTCCACGCAAACCGGCCCACTTGCATGGCAGGCGCCGCTCCAACAACGCATCACCACCGTTTCACGTTGCCCTCTCTCGCCGCCTCGCTCTCCAACCGCGCCGTTGCGCCCGCGTTGCCTGCGGCTGGATGTGGGCGCGCCGTTGCCTGTTTGCAGCCACGCCTTTGTGTAACCCCCTTCGCCACACTACCTTTGAGGCGTGTTGGGCTTGTTCCGCAGCAGCGCGATGTGCAGCAGAGCGACAGCAGCAGCAGCAGCAGAACTGCAGCAGCACCAACAGCAGCAGCAGAGCAACAGCAGCAGCAGCAGCAGCAGAACTACAGAAGCAGCGACAGCAGCAGCAGCGCGTGAGTCTGGGCGGCATGCCAGCCGTCAACCACCCCAAAACCGCCCTCCCAACATAGCCACATGGGGCAGCCGGGGCGGGCGCGAGTCACTGAGCGACCCAAGAGGAGTGCCTTTTGGTGTTTTGGGGTGCAAGGGTGCTGGTGTGTCAAGGTCTCACGTTTCCTTTGAGCCTCGAAGGTGGCATCCACGCGTGGCCGGCCGCAGCTCAAACCGGCGGACGGCTGAATTGCTGTGTGGGCAGTCGGCTCGATGCGCCTGAGCCCCTGACATCTGCGCGCGCATGTGTGTGGTTGGGGCTTGTGCGGCCGCAGGACGGCAACGACGGGAAATGACGCGCCTCCGGCCCTTACTAGGCACACCAGTCGATGATGATGTGGGGCGACCGGTGGGCTTGCTCGACTCCGCAGTGCTTTTGTGGGGACATTCAAGCAAAAACGTGTGTTCAGCGCCCAGCTGTTTGTTTACTTGATGACAGATCGCAGTGCTTGCAAGCAATCGTAACAGGTCCAAAGTGGGCCTGGCGGGGGGGTTCAACGGATCCCAATCATGCTGCCCCAGAACCCAAACCAGAGGGGCGCATGAGTCTTTTGGAAGGAGGGAGGGGGTCAGCGACGGTGGGCTTGACGACAACGGAACTACAAAGGACCGTCCTTCGGGGCGGTGACCACCGCTGCGGGCGCCGCTGCGGGCGCGCTTGGCGCATTGGTAGGGACCGGAAGTGAGGGGGAAGACGGGCTGAATACACGTGCAAATAGGAGGGGTGGTGGGGCTGGGGCCAGGCGCGCAATGGCAGGGGCGCCGGCGCCCGCTCTGTGCTTTCAATGCGGCAAGGGCGGGACAGGAACTGAAGCTTCATAGGCAGGAGCCCGAGCATCCAATGGCGCACAGGGGCCCCCGGAAGGCGCTGGCGGGGCGCCAACCGCCCGCCTGCTATCATGCCGGGCGCGGGCTGCCAGAGTTCCATCCGTTGCGGAGACACAATTGAGGAGCGCTGCGGCGGCGGCGGTGATGCGGAGAATGAGCACGCCCGCGCCCGCGGCTGGCCGAGAGCGCTGTGCGGAGTGCGGGGATGCGGGGAGCGCAATGTGCACAAGTGTACCAACTTAACGCGCGCCGCGGGGCCACTGGAGAAGAGTGTTGGCGCCTTGGCAGGCATTAGCTGCGTGTCTTGAAAGTCCCCGCATGCCCTGGCAACCGACTGGTGAAATCGTTGGGTCGGCGTGCGCTCATACGATGCTGTTGGGAGACGTGAAAACAGTGCGTTGCGCAGAAGGGTGGCTCTGAAGAGACGAGCCGACTGCCTCGGCCGCCGGCACCGCGCCTTTTCAGGTGCCATCGAGTCATCAAGGCCCGCCGCTGGGTTGAAGCTGTGTGTGGTCGATTGGTGCGGCGCGCCGCCGTGCTGCGCGCCAACACTCCAAAGCATAAGAAGACCCAACAGGCAGGGGCTACGAGTGCATGCACGCCTCAAGGCAGGCAAACGTTGCACCACCAATGCAACAATCTTGGGTCAGGCCTGAAGTCTGCAACGGATACAGTGCGGCAAAGACGTGCGAACCAAAAAGCCGAAGCTTTCTCGCACGGCCGTGCGACTCAGCGCCGGGGGAAGGGGCTGCGCCGCACGGGGCCCGGGCCCGTCTGTTCCCAACAGTTTGCACCAGCAATGCGTGGGCAGGGGGTTACGCCCACAGCGTAACTCACAGCCACTCCTCCCCTCTCGCCTGGCCACACCCGCCGGCGGCCGAGGGCAGGCACGGCACGCAGTCCCGGCGCGTCTGCGGGGCACTGCAGGTGACGCGGCCCCCAACAATCCCCGCAGCCTCTGATATGCGGGTCTTGGATCCCTACATGAGGAAGATTCGCCGCCGCAGTCCGCGTCGGTGCGCAGGGCTGCGCCCCCCGCCGGCCAGGGCTGGTCGCTCAAGGCCCACTGCGGCACACACGACTCCCTTGGCGGTGACCAGAGGAACATGTGTGGAATAATGGTATCAATCGCGTCGGTGCCACAAAATCACAAAGAAACTAGATGAGTGACTGAGAGACCAGCCCGGTTATCTGGCGGAGGTTTGGCTGTGACTTGGAACAGATAACGCGATTGCCTTGCGCGGCGCACAACGCAAGTTTTGGGGAAGCAGCAACGGGCGCCGCGACGGCATCGGCCGCGTGCAAGGGCAACGGCAAACTTGCCAGACGTGCACGCCAAGGGGCCTGTGCAAGTCGATCTGAGAAGGGGCGCCGAATTGACCGAAACAAGATGGAAGCAAGCGCGACAGCGGCAAGGAGCCGCGTTCGAGAAGTTTGGCGGTCGGTGTGTGGTCGAGGTGTCCCCTGTAATAAGTGTATGATCCAATTGAGGGAGCGAGCGAGTGGTACTTGTGCACTGGGGTCTGGGGTCTGGTGTGTGTTAACTCCTCACACCAGACGGCGCGCTTTCCCAGCGACTCTCGGCCTGCCAGGCCGGTGGGACAACCGGGTCCTCCCATCCCATGGCAGCACAGCCGATGCGATCCACGGCATAAGGGGGTGCGTGATTTGAGGACCATGTTCTGGCTCAAAAGAATGGGGGTCGTGTAGGCTCAGTCAGTCTCGGGTGACCGCAGCCGCGCCGCGCCGCCACGCGCAGGCGCTGCAGTTGTCGGTCGGCGGCGCTTGATCTGAATTTGCGGCAGGCGCGCCTGGCTCACATCTGCGACCTGCTCGCTTTCTCCCTCGGCGGCAGGAATCAGGGGCATGTGTGACTTGAAAGATCGTACGTTTGGTGGGCGCGCCATGCAATAATATGGTCGGCACCGCTCGGACTGAAGATCATCGATTTTGCTGCCGCCACCTCACCCGCCATTGCCGCCACCACGCCAGCAGCGGGAGCAAAAGCAGCGGCAGTAGCGGTGGTGGCGGCGGCAGTGGGAGCAGCAGCAGAGGTGGTGGTGGCAGCTGCAGCAGCAGCGGCAGCAGCAGCGGTACCAGTAGCTGTCGCTACTGCTACTGCTGCAGGTGCTGCTGCGTCATGAGCACCCCCAAAAGGTCCCGCAACAGCTCATCGTTGCTTGAGCCCGCCGCTGCCGATATGTGCTGCTGCTGCAGCAACTTGATCTGCTGCTGCAGCAGCTGCTGCTGTTGCTGGTGCTGCTGGTGCTGCTGCTGCGCCTGCAGCTGGTGGTGCTGCAGCAGCAGCTGCTGCTGTTGATAGTGATGCGCCACCGTCGCGCTCACAGGCGCGCACGTGTGTGCTGCCATTGACGGCAGCGCGCCGCCGAGCCCAGTGCCTGCGGCATGGGGCGCCACAAGCGATGCTGCGCGCTGGAGCTGCCCAACGGCGTCCCCGCCGCCGCCGCCGCCGCCGCCGCCGGCGGAGCCAGTCGCGCTGGGGCCGCGCGATACCGGGAATGCCCCAACACCCAGGGCGAGGGATGTGCCGTCGTGACCGGGCAGGCTGCCGCAGCGCATGAGGTCGCCGCTGAGCATAACGCTGTGCTCGCTCTCGCTGCGGAGGACGGGGAACTCGCAGCTGAGCCTCGGCAGATCGCAGCTTGATCTAGCCAGATCGCAGCTGGACAGGTCCGAGGCCGCCGGCTGGAGGGTGCCGCTGAAGTCGCCGCGAGCTGCGGCCACGGCGGCCGCCCTGCGGGCTTGGAGGTATGCCGCAGGGCCGTCCAGCTGCGGGGAGCGCGCCGCGGCGAGCGCACCGCCGGGGGAAAGCTGCCAGGGCCAGGTGTTGCCGCTGTAGGCGCTGTCAAGGGATGAGCTCGGCGGCGCCGCCGCTGAGACCGCCGCCACAAGCGAGGCCGCGTCAGCGCCCGCCCGCGAGTGCACGAGCCGCAGCTGGTGGTGCTGCTGCTGCTGCTGCTGCTGCTGGTAATGTTGTTGCTGCTGCTGCTGCTGCTGCTGCTGCTGCTGCTGCTGCTGCTGCTGCTGCTGGTGGTGCTGCTGCTGCTGCTGCTGCTGCTGCGCGTTCAGCTGCCGGTGCCGCAGCTCCAGAGAGGCAAGAAAATCGCCGGAAGCTGCCGCCGGCGCCGCCACTCGGTTGTCTACGAGCGCCCTGTCGTTGTGACCTGGGTGCGGGTGCGACGTGTATGCACCAGTGCACTGAGCCCCGCTGAAGCTTGCAACACGGGGAGCGACCGCCAGCATCTGCGCCGAGCCGCCGCCCAGCGCCGCAGCCGTGCCGGCCGGCCACCAGAAGCGACCCGCGTGGCGCTGCGGCGCAGGGCCGTCTGTCACAGGCGATCCGAGGCTGCCGGTGCGCGCGAGCTGCGGCGTCGCCGGCAGGCTGAGGCTTCGAGACATGGCGCAGAGGCCGCTGCCGGCGCCACGCAAATGCAGGTCGCATGGCGCGGCGGACGGCGCGGGCGGCGACCCCCCCAGCGGCTGCACCTGAGCGTTTTCACGGCGCATGCGGGCGGCGGCCTGGGCTCGCGTGCGCGCACGCGCCTGGGCTGCAACGGCTGCGCCGCTGCCACTGCCATTCATCGCCGCCGCAGACGTCGGCGGGCCCGACGGCTGCTGTGCGGTCTGGCAGCCGGCCGCAGGCCCGGGAATCTGGGGTGCAGCTGGTAAGGCGATGTCTTCGCCGTCTCCTTGCCTACCCGTGCTGCTGCTGAGGCTGCGCGGCGGCGGCGGCCCCAGCGACAAGCTGGGCGGCCCGGCCGCTGCCGCCGCTTTCGCCGCCGCTGCGCCGTGGGCCGGGGCAGCGTCGGCGGCGGCAGCTGCGCATGCGGGTGCGGCGCCTGCTGTCCTCAGGTCCGATGGGACATGGGCAAAAAAGCACACGGCGCGTTTGCAGTTGGTCCCGTTCTGTTGTTACCACACAGCAAGAGTAGAAGGCACCACAGAGGTGCAGGAAGGCGGGCGGGGATGTCAGTGGTTGAGCACGGGACGCTCTGATTCTGAGGCGTGACCGCAGAGGGCATGCGGGCGTCCGACTTGGCGCTTCGAGGGCAGCGGGCAGAGCACGCAGCATGCAGGCGCTCATACCTGGCACAGCTGGGTCCGGTAGCGGCTCGGGTGCAGCCAGTACTGCCGAGGATTGAGGTCCACGAGCAAAATGGTGACACGGCAGAAGGCTTGGCAGTGTGGCTGCGGAGGCACTTCTTTCTTACTTGGCTTCGTTGCTGGGTTGCATCTCGATATCTCACAACCATTCAGGGTGGCGGGCGCAGGCGGGCGGGTGCACGGGCTGGGCGGACAGACACGCACAGGGGCGCCACGAGCGCACCTCGAAAACCGAGTGGCAGTACTGACAAGAGTCGCCCCTTGGGCAAGACTGATTCTGCGAACCGCGGTGCCGCCGGCGCGTCAGAAAGCGCGTCAGTCCGGCCGCTGCAGGGACCAACGAGTTTATTGCGGTGCCCCGCACTGCTGTTGCCGTTGCCCGCATGCACTGCACCACAGAGCCCACGTCCCGAAGCCCGCGCCAGCCGCGCCCGCCCGTCACGACCCCCATGCCCTCTTTATTCCCCACACCCTCGCGCGCCCAAGCGTTGGACGATGCACGCATGCGGCCGCCGCATTGCTTCGCTGCGCACCTGCTTCACATCGGGGCAAGGAACTGCCAGGTAGCTGAAGAGACGCGGGTCGCGCCTGCGCGCTTTCTCGCCTGCGTCGTATGCCGTGGCGTTGAGGCGCTCGCGACCCGGCGACGGCAGGCAGGGTGGCGGGGCGCGGCGAACCGGACGGCGGCGCGCGGCTCGGTCGGGCCGTGGCGGCGGGAGGTGTTGGCGTGCGGGGCGCAGCCAAGGGGGCGGCCCACCTGGGTGAGCAAAGGGGCAGCTCGTCCAGTCGTGGGACGTGCGGCGCGAGCAGGGCAGGATCTTGAAGGAAAACTGCGCGCATGTGGCCGTTGCATGCCGCGGGAACGGTGACGGCAGGGGGGCAGGACAGAGTAGCCCCAAACCGCTTTCTGGGGCCTGAGCAGTGGCGGCCACGGCCTGCTGAGGGCTCAGCTTTCAATTAGTGACAGCGCTGGTGGATGGGCCCTGGGTTTTTGAGATGGGTGCGCCATGTGAATGCGGGCAGCTGGACGGCTGCAATCGCACTGCAGCACAAAGCCCAGCAGGTGATGTCATCTTGTTGTCCTGTTGCATTGCCGAGTACATGCGTCTGCAGCCGGCGACGCACCATACGGAATTCGTCCAGGTCAACTGAGTCGTCTATTGCGGCGATTGCACGGAGGCCGGGGCCAGATAGCACCTGTGGGGGTGCCACAAGCACCAGTTGCGCATGACGAAGTGCATGCCCAGGTCGATGCACAGACAGCACAGTGACCAGAGCCGTGCATGCACGCACTACAGCCAAATCAGGTATATTTTGTTGACAATAGTATGACGAACGGGTTTCGCCTCGCGTGTCCGCGGGTGGAGAGCAGAGGAGAATCCCAGGATGAATTTGCAGATGTCCCAGCTCGCTCGCGAGAAGCGAGCCAGCTCGTCTCTTGCATATCAATGGTGTCAAGCCATGCTGACCCAGCCAGCGAAAAGGGATCCTGCACGACAGCTGCTGGCCAGCGGGACACGCCGTGGGCACGATGCTCACCCCGGCGCCCTCCACTAAAGGTTTCAGCTCCTGAAGCTCCATGCCCTCGTGCTCTTAAGCACCGCGATGCCGCTTACAGCACAGCTCGTATGAGTCCCGTGCTGTGCGGATCCTCCACCCCAGCTGTATTAGTACAGGATACACGCCTCATGAGACCTCTATGAACCCGCGAAGGAATACTGTAGGGGCGCCCCGGTTTCTGTTCAGTTGTTCCCTGGTCGGCTGAACCAGCCGCGCGCGACCAGCCCAAACGCGGCGGTGCCTGGGGGCGTAATAACTGAGTTTTTTGCACTCACAAACAACGCTGCAGGTTGGAGATTTACAAAATCTCTTTGTGCATCTCCAGTCTAGGCTGGCAGGCTAGCAGGATCATGCTTGCACCAAACACGCTGAGGTGGAGGCAGTAACGGGTGACGACGGTTGGTTTCACTGACTGCCGTCACCGCGGCCCTCAACTTGATCGGCCCTCTGGGCGTGCTTCAGGCCCTGCAGACGCTTGATCTACTCGCGTAGTGCATGCAATATCCTGTAGGACTGCATTTGCGTGCGTTTTCGCCGCTCATGAGCCCCAGCTCCGCCTGCCCTTACTCATGTCGGAGTTGCTGGCGGGTGTCAACAACGGCCCCATCCTCAACTTTCCTCACGCGCCGACTCCTGGGTGCAGCACATGTCCCCAAGTGCACGCCATTGCAAGCTGAGAGGCCTACCCCACGCTTACCCAGGAAAGCGTCGCTGTCCAACTCAACATGCACAACACGATCGATGACACATGGGCACATGACATGACACGATGCGCGCGGGTGAACATCCTGACAAATTGCCCTGCAGGCTGGCAGTGAGGTAACCAGGGAGGAGGAGAGTGGAAACGTGCCTGCTGGCACAACACACCAGGCTTGTTTAGAAGTGAGATGCGACAGCGAATGAAAGTGGCCTTTGCATGAGTCAAGCAGGGCCCCGCATACCGCTGATTACCTTGCAGCCCAGCTGCCCGCTGAGTGTGGTGACACCCGCTGGCTCCAACATGGTTGGGCCAGCCCGCGAGCTGCGATGGCGCCTGACGCGCCCACAGCGACTGGCCGGGCATCCACCATCCCTCCAAGCTGCTGGACACCTGGACTCTTGCATGGAGTGCAGGCTTCCTCATCAACAGCTGTGTCGCCACATGCATGTGCGCTGCCGGCAACCCTCCGGAACACACGGCTCTAGCCCCACACCTGCCCGCAGGTTGGGCGCAGGCAGCAATTTGAGCCATGAGCGAAGCGCCACAAGCCAGACAGCGTTGAGAGCAGATGCATGCTGGGCCTAGCGCGCGCGCGTGGCCGGCCGCCTGCAGTGGCCGGATGACCACCACCCTCCCATGTGCAGCTCACCGGCAGGTCTGAAAACAAGCACGCTCTCACTTGCGCGTCCGACGGCGGAGGGGTAGCACACCCGCATGGGCCTGCATTATCCCAGGGGGCCTGCGCACCCAACGTTCTACCAAAATCACCGCACGCCGGCACGTCCCCACCTTGCAGGCATCTGTGCCGCTCCCAGACGCCTCTTCTCTTAATTTTCAAGCGCAACCAGTGCTCTGGGAGGGTGCAAGCGCTTGGCACCCCAGCTGGTGCCTTTGCCCCCATGACCCACACGCCCAACAGGATTGACCCGATGCTACAAGGTTGAGATCGTTGCCGGAAACCTGCAAGCGAGCAAAGTTGCTCCGCGCTCTGCTTTGCGGCCATCAACCTGTGGCCATGCCAGCGAATGCACATTGCAGCGCAAGGCGGAGCGATCGGCCGGTATTACTGAACAAAAAACGTACCCACCACGCTCGTTGACGTGCCTTGAGGGCAGCGTTGTCTGGTGATTGACGCCTGCGCTGACCAGTTGCTTGCTCACACTGGGCACGCCAGGGGGGCGTGTGTGCGAGACAATCAAGTGGTCTGATGGCATCAAGCCCGATCATAAGGGGATGGCAGTGCAAGAAATGCATTACATGAAGAGCGCAGGAGGTTCGGGAGGGGCAGATGGCCTTGAAGCAAGGGTGGGACGGGGGGATGAGCGGTGGATTGTTGCAAGCATATGATTCAAGTAAACAGCAAGCAGCAAATCCAAGCTGCGTGCACAACAAAACCATTCAGAAACCAATGTCACACCAGGCGCAACGAGGCACAGCGTCCACTGAACGATATCACAAGTTGTGGTGGCCGTGGCTGTGGCCGTGGCCGTGGTCATGCTGAATCAGACTTGACAGCAGCAGCGGGACCAGCATCCCCCCCGTCACCCACAGCAGCACGTCTCGCCGGCCGCCCTCGGCGCCGCCTGCGCCGCCGCCGGCCGAGCCGCTGCGCTGCAACGGCGCCGACAAAAGACCCCGCTGCTCCTCCTCGTCGCCGATATCATGACTAGCCTGCTCTGCCGCCTCGGAGGGCGGGCCACCCTTGCCAACATGCAGCCGTGGGTGAGCGTCGGCATGCGCGTGCCCGGCCCCAGCTGCCGCGAGCGCCTCGGGCAGCACGTGCACCGCCGCGGCAAACAGCACCGTCCCGCCGGACAGCAGCAACGCGAGCGCCACGTTCGCGCCTGCGCCGCCACTCGGCGCCGGCGCCGGGGACAGCAGCAGGGTTGTCGCGGCGGCCGCGGCCGGCGAGGCGGCCGCGAACGCGAGGAGCGCCTTGTTGGTCGCGGCCCATGGCCACCGGGACGCCGCTAGGTACGACGACAGCCCGACGGCCACCGGCGCCTTGTGGAGCACCATCGCCGCCGCCACGGTCAGCGCGACGCTCGGCTCCCGCGCGAGCGCTGCGGCGCCGACAGCCAGGCCATCTGCGGCGGCGTGGACAATCAGACCCAGGAGCACCGGGCCCGCGGGGCCGAGCAGTAGGGGCGCCAACGCTGCCGGCTCGACAGCCCCGCGCGTATGCGGCGGCGAGGGCGGCGCCGACAGCGACAGCTGCATCGCGCCGCCATCAGGCCGCGCGCTTGCTGGCAGAGACCGCTGCGCCGCTCCAGGCGGGGCGCGGCCATGCGGCGGCGCCGGGGCCCGCGCACGCCGCTGGGGCGACGCGCCGTCTGAGGCCGGGCCGGGCTCGCTGCGAGTAGTGCCCCGCCGCGGGGACGCGGCCGCCGCAGAAGAGCTCGGTTGCGAGGCAGCGGCGCCTTGCCTCTGCATCTGCAGGTGGCGGCCTGATATTTGTTGTACCAAGACATCCAAGGCAAGCATCAACCAAAATCCCCCCAGCAGCGCAGCTCCGGCCGCCCATTCCGGCAGTGCGGCCGCCCCCTCCTCCGCGGCCGCTTCCTGTGCGGGGGCGCGGCGGCGCGGGGCACCGCCTCCTGGGTCGGCAGGGCCCGAGCCACGCACGGTCAGCGCGAGGCTTCCAGCAACTGACGGTGGCTGGAGACAGCCAACTGGCACTCACCCAACCCCAACCCGAGCCCCAGCCCCAGCCCCCACTGACAGACACAGCGCATTCCGTATGGCTCTGAACAGGGCGTGCCACGGCCTGGCGCCCCACCATGCTCGCGTGCAGCGCCTCAAAGCCCTCTGGGAGAATCACGCACAGCGCGCTGCCAAGCAGGAGCCCAGCGCTGGCGGCGTTGACCTGTGGGCGCGACGCGCGTAGCGCTGCGTGTCGTGCTTTGGCGTGTAGCGGGCTGCAGACGTTGCATGAGCATGGTCGCGACCTACCGTGGGTTGCATGGCTTAGCACCCATTGCGTCCACATCGCAAACACCGGCATGCCACAAGGTTCACTGGGTACGGCTCACATTCAATTGACCGCGCTCACCGTGGCCAGGCGCTGCCCGGAGATATTTGGCAGGAGCCGCGGCAGCAGGCCGCAGCCATAGGCTCCAGCAAACATCAGGGCGCAGGTAGTCCCCAAGCCCAAGCCGTCCATGATTCCCCCCACCGCCTCTGCCTCCACCACCGCTGCAACACGGCAGCGCGAGCGACGGTACGTGTGCTGAGCACGCCGGTTACGCAAGCGTGCGAAAGCAACTCCACGCCACGGGCGCACAAAGTTATTTCGAATAGACGTCACGTTTGAAACAGCTATGCAGGTGGGCGCCTCCAGGGAGGGAGGGATCATGCCTGCCAGGTGATAAGATCTGTGGCCGCGAAACACTTGAATGAGTGAAATTCGCAAAGGCCGCAAGGCTCGTGTTTGACGCCAGCACATAAATTCGCCTGCGAAATTTCAAGTTCGGTTGGGTGACCACTGCTGGTGTGTCACATTGCGCCGATCGCTCACAGGGCTTGGTGCACAACGCCGCCAACCGTCAACTCTTGATAGACAATTGTGCATCAGGAGCCAGATCACATGTCAATGCAGCAGGGACCGTAGTAAGGAGTCCTCGTCGCTTGCAGCATGGCGAGAACCAAGCAGAAGCCGTCGGTGGGCGACTTCGTGTATAGCTGGCCTTGCTCTTGACTGAGCTGCGCAACTGGGAGTGTTGTGGCGGGTGGGGTGGCCACACCCCGACCCTTACGGTTGTTGGTATATGTTTCGCAGACACCGCAAAAAGGCAAAAAGGCGGGCGGCCCCGTGCGTCGGCAGCAGGCAACGCCGACGCGGGCAACGCCAGCAGTGCGGCAGTCGTTTGGGAGGCCGATCGATGCAGAGCCCAGTGAGCGTCCCCCGGCGCGCTATGGCGCACGTTTCGGGCTGGAAGAAGCAGCGTAAGGCATTGCATGTGTTGTTCTTTGCTGCCTTTGTGCAGTGCCTAGCACCACGCGCATCTCGACCACTTTGGACGCAGCCGAGTTCTCTGCCGACACCATACCCTGCCGCGCAGGGAAACGGCGGTACCGCCCTGGGACGCGCGCTCTGCAGGAAATCCGCAAGTACCAGAAGACCACAGACCTGCTGCTTCGGAAACTGCCCTTCGCGCGCCTTGTGAGCATGCTGCACCAAGCCCAGCCGCACGTTGCTTGCGTGCCTGCCAGGCGGACTGCAGCCTTGAGTCACGCCAGCAGCTGCGTCACACCGGCTAATTCGATTGCAGGGGCAGCCATCATATAGGCTGACTGGCAGGTGCTCTGCACCAATACTTGCAGCGTGTGCGCAGCAAACAAGCACCTCTGTCCTTCCCGCGATCGCTCCCAGGTGCGGGAAACATCCAACAACCTGACACCCGAGCCGTTCCGCTGGACGGCCGAGGCCCTGAACGCGATGCAGGAGGTGCGGGCGGGGGAGGCAGGCATGCCGTAGGTGCCCTTGATGTTGTCATGGCAGGGGCATGGCAGCCGAGGCTGTTAGTGGCGGACTCCCACGGGGCACATTGATAACAGCTTTTGAGGCCCGCAGCTCACCGCGCCACGAAATCAGGCGACTGAGGACTTCCTGGTGCACCTCTTTGAGGACTGCAACCTCTGCGCCATCCACGCGCGCCGCATCACCATCAGTGAGCGGCAGCCGCGGGTGGAATCCCTCCCTGCCCCTGACATTGCTGGGGGGGGGGGGCCATCACCCGGGCAAAAGCCACCACTAACTTCGATGGTGCTGCACTTGCCCACAACGCAGCTTCTGATCTTCCAACATTTTTGCTGAACTCACATGACTGACCGCGCCAATGCGACCACCCAATCAACCAAAACTCATAGTGCCTAAGGACCTGCAGCTGGCAAGGCGCATCCGCGGGCCTGTGGCCGGTGTGTCCTCGTACTGAGTCGCCGCATCGCGAACGACCCGCAACGTTGATCCAGCCCGGAGCGGCGCAGATGTGGTGCGGCCACCGGGCGCACACCACTGATTGTGGGGCCAGCGCGGCGCGGACGTGTTGGGCGACGATGCTCACTCTTGACAAGCACGACTGGAGATGACAGCACAGGGACAGCAATCAGACCTGACTACTGGTGACCCACAACTACCACGACTGCGACCAGGCACTTTGGCACTCCTGGAGCCACCAGTGACCTAAGACCGCACCTGACAGAATGACGCTGCCTGTGTGGGCCTGCGTGGGGTCGAATCGCGAGGCAGTGGCGGCGGAAGCCATGCGCTTGGCGCAACCGGCTTTGCATGCTGGGATAGGCATGCGCATGTGTTCCGGCTATCATTGTGTGTGCGGAGCCACAAGCGTATGTAACGACTCCGCAGCATGTCACGGCGGACGCAGGGCTATGAATTGTACCCGTGGCGGTGATAGCTACGTGAGTTGCATACAAGGTGCACGAGCTAAGATCACCAGATCACATTTGAATTTAGACTGCGAGAGGTGAGCACCTGTGGCCACCCCGGATGGTGCATGCTTTTCATCAACTTCAAAAGAAACTTAGAGCTCTTCTGGAACAATCAACTCATAGCCACACCGTCCCACCACCGCGCAATCAATAGCAGCATGCAGCACGTCCCCTGGCGGGCCTGAGACAGCACCAGGAGCTCGTGGGGTTAAATACTGAAACCCTGGGCACGCTGAGTACAACCAGGGCGCCATGTACATCAAGGAGGTGTCGATTGATGGCTTCAAGTCGTATGCCCAGCGTGTGACGCTCTCAAACTTCGACCCCGGCTTCAACGCTATCACGGGGCTCAATGGCAGTGGCAAGTCCAACATCTTGGACGCCATCTGCTTCGTCATGGGCATCAAGAACTTGTCGGCGGTGCGCGCGCTGCTGAACGCGTGTGCCCATCAGAAGCGATGCTGTCCCATTGCCGCTTCTCCTCAGAGTCGGAGTTCACACTTTCAGCTTTGAAATGGCTGCACTGTGCGCATCAGCAGTGGTGCTGGCAGCAAAGCCAGCAAACGGCAGGGTAGACGCTACATTGTTGCGCACTCGCAGCTGCGCTGTCACCAGGTGTAGCCCGGGCAGCTCGCGCCCAGAGACGACAGCAGCGACGTGGCCACTCGCCATGTTGCCCGCACCACAGGTGCGCGCCCAGTCGCTGCAGGAGCTTGTGTACAAGCTGGGCAGCGCGGGCATCACCAAGGCATCCGTGTCCATCACGTTCCACAACAACGACCCAGCTAACAGCCCCACCGGCTACGATGATAAGGAGTTGATTACCGTGACGCGCCAGGCGAGCTCCTAGGAGGGCGAGCAGAGGGCGAGCAGAGGCACGCGCCATCTTGGAGTCTTCCATCCGCGTTACAACATGGCAGCTGCCAGCCTAATGTTGCAGCCGTGCGGGGCGGCAGGTGCACAGCTCCTGGGCCGTAGCCGCTCAGCCATTCTCCATCCCGGCGTTGCGCCCACACATGGACCGCATTGCGACCGCAGATTGTCATCGGTGGCCGGGACAAGTACCTGATCAACGGCCACCCGGCGCAGCAGGGGTCAGTGGGGTGGGGGTGTGCAGCTGGTGGCAAAGGTGGAATGGCACAGGGTCAAAATGCGTGCTGGTGGCATCACACGGATCCAGCAGGGCGTACTGTGAAGTGGCACACAGATGCACTGACAGTTGATGGAGTCACCACACTCAATTCAGAGCACCCGCTTACATAGCCAATGTTTGCAGCGGCAACCACCTCGCCAAATGACCCCCTTCAAACCCTCCCGGTCTGCAACCTACGCGCGGCACCTCACTTGCAGGCGCGTGGCGGACCTCTTCCAGTCGGTGCAGCTCAACGTCAACAACCCCCACTTTCTCATCATGCAGGGGCGGGTCACAAAGGTGAGCGCGGAACAAAGCGCTTGCGCGCGCGCCCCCGCAGCGCCGCCCAAACGCCCATGACAGGCTCCGTACACGCGACGCCTCCACATGCCTTGATCCCCCACACTGCTGAACTCTTGTCCTTAACCTCAACCCCTGCCATCTGATATCAGATCATGAACATGAAGCCCCCTGAGATCCTGTCGCTCCTGGAGGAGGCGAGCGGCACCAAGCTGTACGAGCGCAAGAAGGAGGGCGCGCTGCGCACGCTGGCCAAGAAGCAGACCAAGCTTGAGGAGATCGACCAGGTGGGTGGCCGCGCGCCGGGCCCGCTCGGCGGCCGGCATGGTGAAGCAAAGAGGGGCTCACGCAGTCTTGCCGCGTGCAGCCGTGCAGCTGCCGTGACTCCGTGTGGAGACAAGGCACCGGCCAGGCTCGCCTGCTTCCACACAATTGGCAACCTCATCTCAACACCCGCCCCGCCAGCTTATGAACGAGGAGCTGCTGCCCACGCTGGCGCTCCTGGAGAAGCAGTGCGCCACCTACCACGAGTACGCAGTCACCAGCCAGGCGAGCCGCGGGTTACAGCACCAGCGCCCCCACCGCCCCCTGGTTGAGCGGGCCCCGTGATGGCACAACAAGCAGCCAAGCGACGCCCGACGGCATGCCAGGCGCTGCGCGGAGCGCAGTGTTTGTGGACTGCTTTGACCTTATGACCCCACACCCTCTGCCGCGTGGATCTCTCGCCGGCGCAAACGTGCGTGCGCACGCTCTGCAGGCATACGAGCGCCTGAAGCGCTTTTGCGTCGCCAACGAGTACTCCCTTTGCCAGAGGTCAGTTGCGCCCTGCTGGCATGCGGTCGGGGGTCCCAGGGAGGCAGTCATATTGATGCAAGAGCTGGCCCCGGAGCGATTCAGTGGCATGTGCAGCGCTCACGCGTGCGCACACAATACACAACACTCACACACAGACACACACACGACACACACGCGACACACACGACACACACATTCTGACGTGCGGCTACCTGCCCCTGCTCACGGCCGCCCGCACGACCCCAGGGCCCTGGACAGCGGCCAGGGCGAGCTGGAGGCGCTGCAGCGCGAGGCAGGCGAGGTGGAGGCGCGCAAGGCTGAGCTGGAGGCTGAGGTGGCGGACCGCGACAGCGGCATACTGGCGCTGCAGACTGAGAAGGAGCTGCAGGCGCGTTTGCGTGTTTGCGAGTTAACGATGTGTGCGCAATCCAACATTTGCGCATGCGTGCGCGTGCACGGGTGGGTCAGCACTCTCTGTGAATGTTGTCATGGGCAAAAGGCGTGATTGCTACATATGCTTTCAGCTCAACGCCATGAAGGCGCAGCAGCGAGTCTAGTGCATATATGACTCACGCCATCTTGTCTGCCCTTGCGCGGCCCTGGCACCCAACACCAGGCCGGCGGCGAGGTGAAGGAGCTGCAGGAGGAGGTTGACAAGCTGGCCATGAGGTGAGGCCACGGCCACGGCGGCCGGGGGCGCTAGGGGCTGCCGCGTCGGGCGCGCTCTGCTTGCATCGTCGCGCCTGGAGATTTTGCGCGACGCGCGGCGTCGTGTGGGCCAGCGCTGTCCGGCACGGCCCAGCCGCCTTGCTGATGGTTGTCTTCCTGCCTGCCAAGCGGGGACGCGGCCTGTGGCGCCGCTCGCATCCCTGCAAAACCCAAAGCCCTGCGGTACGCCGCAGCTGGATACTGAAAGCCCGTCTGTCACTGTTGTGCCTGCTGTTTGCGCCACCCAGGCTGGCCAAGGACCAGGCCGAGCTGAAGAATGGCAAGGACTCATTGAAGGGCGAGGAGGCCGGGCTGGCGGCGGTCAAGGTGAGTGGGGGCCGGCTGCTGGCGTGGGGCGTCGGACGCGCCTTGCATGGCAGTGGATGGGTGCGGATGCCGGGGCCAGCCCTGCCGGTGATCCAGTACGCATTCTTGCGGCAGGCTGCAAGGGCGGCAGCTGCAAGCTGCAGCGCTTCGAGGCATATGTGCGATGTTCAGTGCCAAGGTTATGATCTTGCATCTCGTTCACAATGATTATCACTGCAAAATTTGAAACCTCTTGCAGGCCCAGCTGGCAGAGCTAGGAGAGGCTGGCCTGGCGGCGCGCGTGGAGGCGGCGCGCGCCCAGCGCGACGAGGCGGCCGCTGCGCTGGCGGCGGCGGAAAAGGGCGTAGAGGCGGCGACGCGGGAGCTGGCAGGTGCGCGCGGCCGCGCGGCTCAGGGGCCGGCGCGCTGCGCTTTGAGCGGGCTGCTACCTTCTCGTAACCGGCTGTCGCCTCAAGCAGCGAGGCATTCCGAGCTTTCACACGCGACCGCTATTCCACGCCAGGTGCCGAGGCAGGCGACGGGCGCGACGAGTCGAACCGCAGCATGCAGGAGCGGCTCGCCGACGCGGCGAATGCGCAGACGGCGGCAGAGGCCGAGGGCAAGGTGCGTGTGGCGGCGCAGCAGAGATCAGCCCCGCCCCCTTCC